GATCGTCACAAGTGTTCTTCTTTGATATTACACCAAATATATAAGTGGTAGTTTCTTAAAGGTTAGTTGCAATGTGGATTCTCAACTTTCTGTATTCTGTTAAAGTCCATTGAACTGTCTGGCACTTTAATTAGCTTTTACCCATTTGGAAAATATTGGTTCTCATTTGAATCTTCCAATTATTTCATTACAAAGTATTTTTAATCACATTTTTAAATATCAGGTGTATCTTGTCAGAAAAATCCTTATTGATAAGTTTTGATTACGTTTTCCAGAATTCTAAGTTTTATTTAAAAGCTCAAACTTTGTCATTGGCAGCAAATACTACCAGTTGTCCTCCTTGATATAATAGCCTCATTTCATTTATTTTTGAGAAAGTGTCTGAATAACCATAGTTTATCTGTCATCGTTTTTTCAAGTGGCAATGGCAGTCCATGAAAAGATCCTATGACTTGCATGGTCTCAAAACTTCTGCATTCTGGGTATCCTTCAGCTTTGCGTCCACCCACAGTCTCTTAATGTGCCTTGCATTCACATGCCTCAGAAGCGAATCTCATTGGATTAGTCTGCCATTATCTGATAAGAGAGTGGCACGGGTGGTGTGGCTCAGAGCATGGCAGCCAGCACATAACGAACCACTTCTGGTTGCTGACTTGGAGGAGACCTCCGGTCTAGTAAATACTCCAAGCCCCATGTCCAGGATATATATCATTATGAACTAGCAAGATATTTTTTGATGCAGGCATGCAAATAGAGTGATTATGGTATGACAAGTTAAAAAAATGGATTTATAATTTGCTTTTTATAAGCACCACTTACAAGTACCTTGTTGAAAGACCGAAAAAACCCCACCCATGTCCTTAAAGTTGTCATCACATTCTAGTACCACCTTTACTTTATTTGGATCATTAATTATATTCTGAGGCTGCATGGGACCGTCTTCCCAAAAATATTCTTCAATACAATTTGAGTAGTTGTTACTATGAATTTTCTACCAATGTAAATATAGATTTTATTGCCTTTCACATTGATATTAATAAAAAGACACTTAAATAAATTTCTTTGAATAACAATTTTTCATTGCTTTAAATGGCTATCTTCCTCCTTCACAGGGGAGGAGAATCCCCTAAGTCAGTGGGTATAATCATATCTAATAAATAATTAGGAGTCACTAGTCACTGCATGTTGCAGGTTCACAGATTTTAAACATGAGTTTTATTTATTTTTTAATTTACTTTCTCATTCTGGTAGGAACAGAGCACACAGTAAGAGAAATGTATTTCTGCTATCTTGAGGTTTCCTATTTGAAGGTCCTAGAATTATTTATATATGGGAGAATATACACTATAGATTTTGGCTATGTATGTGAGAACATACCCATGAGTGAGAACTGTTGTGCTCACAAGCAAGTTCATTCACTTAGCGAAGGAAAGAATGGAAGTGGTTTTAGGAAAAATATTGGGGCCCGAGTTCCCTCTTTTGTTCATCCCTTGGGAGTATTGGGGGTGGGGGAGTAACGTATTTGGGTTAATGACAAAGAAAACAAAAACAGTATCCCTATGAGGAAATGTAATCTGATACAATTTAAAGTAGGACCCAGATTTAAAGTAGGACCCAGACTGAAACATAATTCTTTTAGGAAATGGAAATATTTTGTCACACAGATGCCATCTATATTTTAAAAGAAATCTAAACTTCCTTTCTTTTCGTACATCTTGATTTTGTTAACTTCTAATTTCTTCGAGCCATATGTCCCAAGTAATTAAGCTATAAATATTATACAGAATAATTTGCATACATTCCAAGTGCTTTTTAAATTTTAAGCAGCTTACCTTTCTTTCTGACACCATAGTCCTCACAAAGATGGATTATCTCAATTTCTCCATTGACTTTATCCCAGCAATACACATTGTCCTGAGTTGCATAGAGTGCACACTATTGCACTCTGCCCTGCCAGACAGTAGACAAAGTTTATTGTTTTGTTCCCTTTTTTTTAACAGAACACTAAAAATGCCCTAGCACCTTCTTTAGCTTTTTGAAGTGATAAGTATTTAAAAGCCTCCTCACAGGCTATTCTTGCTTAGTATTTTTAATGCTGCAGTACAGATTAAAATCTCAGAAAATCCCAGCTATATACTTTATAGGTATGGATAGCTTTTATTGTTAATATCCTAAATCATCTAAAGGCTTGTTTTCTTTCTTTTTTTACAGACCTAACTACCATAATGAATGCTGCATATTAGGAGAAACCACAAGAAGGTTATACATTTGGTTGTCTAATAATCTTGGATTTGATATGAACCAACACATATTCCTTGTTGTCATTGACAGAACCCCAGTTTGTATGTACATTATTCACATTCCTCTCTGTTGTGTTTGGGGGAAAAAAAGACATTTTAGCCTTTTTTAAGGTTATTGATTTGATTTCGTTATTTGGTTGCATGAAGTTGCCCTTAACCACTAAGGATTATCAAGATTTTTGCACAAACTTATACATGTCTAGGATCCTTTTATCAAGGCAGTTACGTTCATCATTCTCCTGCCTTTACTCCTCTATCACCAGACACTCCATTAAATATAAATTAGCATTTTTTAAAGATGACCACTCAACATAATGCTTAAGGGATTTCCTCTCTTTGACAGAACCCAGGAACCAGTTCCTAAACACATAATGTTGGCATATTAAAGATGAAATTAAAATTGTCCTTCAGTTTTGAGGCCATGTGTAAAGTTTAATCATACTGTAAGATATCTATTCCATATTAGAAATAGCTAGTCGACAGCTTATACTTCTCAAAACTCATATTGTTACATACACAAACTCAGTTTTTATATGTGAAGTTAGTGAGTCTTTTGTGTTATTCCAAAATAAAGGCAGTGATTTATTTTTTTCCCCAATGCCAATACAATTTGAGCTAATCACTCAAGGTGGATAATTTACATTTTAAAGCTGGAATCAGCAGTAGCCCTATGGGAAACCAGACAAAGCATTGACTTTTAAATGAACTATTGTTTTCTTTTGGAACTAGAATTAGTATAGTTATACTCATCCACAAACCATTATTATGTGTACATTATTGTTGCTATTGTGATAATAGAGAATTTTATTTATTTTTATGCCAGCTTATATTGTGAGGACACATTTAGTCAGTTTGGGTTTTATCAATCCTGTTATGCTTGTCCTTGGAACATCTTTCGCGTATTCAAGGTTTGTAGTTGAAAAGTTTACTGTAAAAAAAAATCAAAAACAAAAAAATGTATTGTTTTTACAGAATAAATTTATTGGAATGTGTACTGGGAGTAAGATTTTGAGGTTGTAAACAACTAAGTTAGTGTAATTTGGCTTCATCTATGTAACGTGAGGTATTAATGTAATTCATATATTAAAGCAAAAATTGTTAACAGCAAGTTGACAATAGAATCAAGTGCAGGTGAGGGGTTTTCTTCTTTCTTTTCCTTTTTTTTTTGAACACTGTGTGGGTTTTAGGTTTTTTGTACCCATGGGGGAGGGAGAGGAATGGCCACACGATTGCTTGCACAGCTCAGAGAAAATTTACCAGCTCTGTTGACTCTAAATTTGCATACTTAACATTATCCATGCATTGATTTGGACTCCCATTTTCTTTTTTGTTTCCTTATTTTGGTGAAGAGCTAATGAATAACATGAAGATAAAGTGTGAGCTGTTCTAAAAGCCCAGGGCCATTGAGGATGAGGATGGTGATGGTGGTGATGGTTATGAGTCTACTTACCCCTCCAGGGCACTGAGAAGGCGGCTGTATTTTCAGTTTGTCTTTCTCACTTAACAAATACTAATTTTCCTCTATACTCATAATTCCAAATACAAAAAATTCATTAAAAGATAATAGGGATGCCAATCCAGTTCTTTTTCCTTGAAAAGTACTTTTTAATTTTGAGTGTTTTGTTTCAATTTCAAATTAATGAAATTTAATTAATTCATCAAAAGTCCTCTTCATTGCTCACACTAAAACATAAGGAGAATGTAGATGACATTTTGAATTATAACATGTAACTGACAGATTTTTAAAATAAAATCCTAAAGACTACAAAATTGCTTCTGAAAAATACAAAATGTTTCAAATTTAATAAGATTTGTTTTCATAAAAGGCCCCAAAGATTTATTAAAAAATACACAGAAATACAATAGAAATATTTCCAGTCACCAATAAAACAAGTATTCATTAAGGGTAATGATAAAGTTACCAATCCCTCCTTAGCTATTTAGACTCACAAAAAAAGTTTTATTAAAAGCAATTTTTAAAACAGCAGTAAATAATTATACTTTCCTTGGGAAGACATTTTTCAAATAACATTTTAAAATATTGTGATGATTTGCTTTTTATATTGAGGTTGATAATGATGCATATATATCTTATATGCAAAAAGTATCTCTCCAGTATGTATTTGCTGTTTTGAATTTTTTAATATGCATAGGCCATATTCACTTTTGGATAGGTTCATTTTCATGCTCACTATTGTAGGAGCTAAATTGTAATTGTTTACAGTTATATTTAATATGTGCAAACAGAATATTGAAATAGATGGTCAAGTTTATTCACAAAATAATTTTGAATATATTTCTTTAAACAAACTGTTTCTCAACTTCACTCTTCCTTCAAAAAAAGAAAATTTACCCACACAATACCATATGAGAGCTCACATATACAGTGCAGAGCAAGAATTTGTATGTATATGCTGAAGTATCCCCGTTTCAGGAGGGAGTGAAATGGGACAAATTATCAGTACCAGGATAACAAGTCAGTAATCTAGAGAGGAGAAACATGAAATAATATTTTATTCGACTTTTTCATCTGCCTTTGTTTTTATAAAGAACTCTGGTTTGTAGATACAGCGATAGGCCAAGAGCTGAGGAAGAATTCCATATGCTATGTTTAATGCTAGAAAAAGGGTTTTCGCTTCTTCGGGGACTCTGTAGACATAAGCAGTTCTAGCATGAAGAGAAGCACCGATGTGAGCAAACTGAGCCTGTTGCATTTAAAAAACAAAAGGGGGAGGAGGTAAGCATGAATTCTGTGTTCTGGATGATTCATTCAGACCGTGTTTCCTGTGCCCCTCAAAACCAGTACTCTCAAACAATCCATAGTCTTCAGGATTTCACTGAATATAGGGCCAGTCTTAACATAACTGTTCAAATCAAGTATACCCTCCTTAGCGTGGCTTTATCATGCCAGCTGTCTATTCACCCATCCAGTACCCTTACCGAACATTAGGGGCTCAATTTAAAAGAAAAACTGAATAAAATCTCAGGGTTGTTTTTTTGTTTTATTTTTGTTTCTGATGTGCATCTGGAGATCTATACAGGCACTCACTTGTGGCTTACTAAATGTGTTCCAATAAAAATGAAGAAAGTACAGAGTTTAGAAAGTAAAAATATTTTTAATATAGCTATTTAAAGAGAAGCACTGAGGACCTCAGCTTCATTAGTCAGTCTTTTACCTATTCCTTGGAACAAGAGCTCAGAACCCTTCGTTATATATTTTTTTTGTTTATTTCTTCATGTATTTGTTTTTTACACAATTTTAAAAATACTAAGCGTTGTTTTGTAAGTAAGGTCGTTACCAACTTGGGTGGGGGTAGGACTGTAGTTGCTCTTTATAAAATGGTAAATGTCCATTCAGGCAACCTTTTCAAATCAAATTCTAATTTGTCTAGAAGTATAGCTTGTCAGCATTATCTGAGGCACGAGCTTCCCATTTGTACTGGTATACATAGCGTACATTCAGAATGTGTCTTTTTTGATACTTTTCATAAGCACAGGGGAAAACTGTATTAGAAAAGGCTTCTGTGTGAGGATTTCCTCAGGATTCTCATATTGTTACAAAATGCAACCCTGGAGTCTACATTTTCATATCTTACTGAAATCTAAGCTATACATGAATAAAAGATTGGAAATATAAATATAACAAGTGATGAATTATTAGTTTATCAGGATCCAAGTGAAGAAAGAAGATATTATAACCTAAAGAAGTCACAGAGTAACAAGAATGAAAAATTTAGATAATTTGCTTTAAATACATATGTTACATTTCCTTCTGTATGAAATCAGTTTATTCTGCTCAATGCTTAGCAGATGAAAGTGTTCCTTAGCACTTGACTTGACCATGACAAGAAAAGGACAAGCTTTCATCAGCAGCGTGTGTGTGGATTTGTATCAGTAACACAGGTACTTTCACAGGCTACGTTTTTACAAATTATTGATATATTCTAGGGACCTCTCCTTCAATGTGCTACTCTCTAGAGATAAGAAATTAGTGTGGTGTGTTACCAAGGACCAATACAGAAAGTGTACACATCTGCACTGTGATCCATGAGGCTCTGTGAGGGCTCTATGAGGGCTCTGCCCTCAAACACATGTCCCTTACGCACACGCCCAAACGGCGTTGGAGAGGCTGCCCTGCAGAGCTCTTGTGCAGTTCTAGGAAAATGGACCAGGAGCTTGGCCTCTGTTGCTGTTTTTCCCTAGGGCCTCTTTTGAATAACAGTGTTTTTCTGAATAATATAACCAAACTTCTGGACTAGAGGCCAGATATGAACCTTGATCTTCAAAAATGTGGGTTTGGTGTCTTTGTCTTTATAGACACTTGTACATGTGACAAAAAAAAAAAAAATCACCAGGTGTGGGGAAATGCCAACCATACTTTGAGAGATGAAGTAATATGAGCAATCATGCCTACTTGCATAGGGAAACTGGCATAAAAAGCCAGTGATTCCATAGGCTCTTTTCCTGCACTCCCCAGTGCAGTTAATACCTCATTTTCAAAAACAGCAAAATCATGGCAACATTACAAAATGATCATGTCCTTAGATTAGATTGTAAGCCCACCGGGCAGGTACTGTGTCTAATGTTTTGTGTGGCGCCTCTCGCATTGTTAGAGCTCAATAAACATTAAACAATAACGTCTTGTGACTGTCAAAATACAAAAAGCTTCTACACGGCATTTCTCTATTTTTATACCTATTTTAGTAGGTCTTTCTTCACCAGAATTATTGGATGAGGGGTATAGATTGATGTTTCTAATGCAAAGAGGTGTCTGCACGTGAGAGAAGCCTAAGGCCCGTGTTCTGCAGTTTCTGGCACTGCCTGTAGTTCTAACAGGTGTGTTTGTGGTGGCCATGAGTGAGCGTCCAACTATAGCTTCCTCCCAGACACCTAACGGTGTCCAGTTCCCAGAGTTCTGAAGTTTCGGAAGAACCTCCGTCTCCCCTGAGAACAGTGCCCTTCCCAAGCACATAGCTGCTAACAGCCTACACAGTGTCTCCTGGGTGATGTGCCCCCCAGCACATGAGGCCTCCCGATGGCAGCCTGTGTGCCAGGCTGGGATCTGGTGGCTCTGGGCTCAGTGCTGCTCAGTGACTTGTCACTCAGAATCATAGGGACAACTTTATAGAGCCCAGAAATTTCTGCAAAATTCAATGATGTGACACTGGCCCCTAATCATCTTTCTTACCTTTTTAAATTCTCACCTTAAGTAAATCTAAAAGATATGCTTTGATTTTTTTTTTAATGGATGATTAGAATGGAAAATGAGGGGGAAAAAAAAGCAAAGAATGGTTCAATTTTAATAGCTCCTTTTTCTTATATTTATAGAGATAGTCCTAAAAGTCATGGTCTCAGTTCCAGAAAGGAGCTGAAAGAGTATCGTGTGTCCACATAAGTATTATAGGCCAAAACTAACATGAACACTGGCTGATACAATGTAAGTAGTTAATCCAGAACTGTGTCATTTTTTAGGGTTTTCTGAGCAGCACAGTTGAGGGATTAAAAACACTGAATCTGGAGCCAGACCACCAGTGTCAGAACCCAGCTCCACCAGCAGTAGGACCTTTGATTAGGTACGTAACATCTTTGGTTTCCTCATCTATAAAAGTAGGATAATAATGGAGCCTATCTCATAGGGATTCCTATGCCGGTTCAAGAAGTTGCTCTTTGTGGAATAATCACGACAGTGCCAAGAGATCACCTGTTCATGATCTGGCATTCTGCTTAGTTGAGAACTCAGGTGGGCTCTTTGTTTTTAGATCCCCTTGCCAGCCTTTGGACAATTTCAAGACTGTCTATCTCCACCAAAGGATAAACATGTGAAGATATTAAACCCAAAGTCTAGTCTTAATACTAAATCAAGATGTTTACTGATGAATTATACTTGAAGCAAACTACTAAAACAGGATTTGCATTAGTATCCCAATTATCCATGTTCTTCCTAAATCTTTCCTTTCAGATATTTCCTAGAGGTTTCCATAAGGAAAGAACATAAAATTCACCTCCAGTAGAGTCAACTCTACAACCAAATTACCCACAGATAAGCTTCCAGACCCTTTTGTGAGAAAGTACATGGCACCCGCGTAACCAGGGAGTGGGAGAGTCTGAGCAGCAAGAGGAAAGGGGTATTGCCCAACCAAAGTGGGACTGTTCCTGCTTCCAAAGCCGTGGTGTTACTGGATGGGCAGCAGGCTCCCTGCCAAACCCACTGACTCTATCCCAGAGCTTTCTCCCACTCTCTCTGATTTTTAGGCAATACTATCTGTTACACATGGCTACAGATTAATGAATCTTCTGAGCAACACAAGGCATTTCTCCTCTAAGACTCTTGTTGAGAATCTTCTACCTGTAACAACAGCAACAGAGATCCAAGGCGTCTTCTGTGCCAGGCACTGTCTAAGCCCTTTACATATATTCCCTCATTTAATCCTCTTGTAGCAGCTTTATGAGAAAGCTCCTGTACCATCCTTTTACAGAAGAGGAATCCAAGGTGGCCAAGGTCACAAGCTCATCAGGGATAGGGTGATATATGAACCCATCTGTCTCCAGAGCTCATGCTCTTAACCATATTGACTATATTGGCTCTGATTGTTTTCTTCTAATTTTCAGTGATACTTTAGCAGAGAAAAACTCTTCAGTTGCTACAAAGTACTAAAAATAACTGGATCTAACCAGCCTGGAATACTTTTCAAACTAGACTTGCAACTTTAATCCTACAGTAAGAATTTTATATGAAAAGATATTTGAGTTATGAAAAGTCCCCACTGGAAGGCTTTAGTGTAAAATGTCCTTGGCACATTTTATTTTATTTATTTTATTTTATTTTATTTTATTTTATTTTATTTTATTTTATTTTATTTTATTTTATTTTACTTTTTGATGTTTTGATTTCTCAAGACAGCAGATTTGGCAGATTACTGCATGATCTGAAATCAGGGACCCAGTAAGGACTTAAATTTTCTACCGACTTGTACTGATCTAGAAATTTTTCAGAGATTTTTTTTTTTTTTTAACTAAGTCACATAGAGTCTTGGGAGTTCACTAGGCCTTTCAAGAAATGCAGGTTTTGATAAAATTAGTGGGATCATGGTGCATAAAGCTTCTCAATGAAGAATGGCAGTTTTAGGAAATAAGGGATGCGAGTCAGGTTACAGAGGGTGTTTTCTGTGATAAATGTGTCACATGCCCTCCCAACACGAGAACTCATTTGATAAGCAAGTACTGGCTAGGTAGAAAACCAATCACATAACTGGAATTCAACATTTTCATCATGTACCCTGTTTCGTACATGTTTTGTGTGATCTGTTTTGTGTAACATTTCCTTACACTAAACACTCTGAGTAGGTAGATACGAACACCTGGCCCAGAGTCATGGGAACATCAGACACAGTTCTCAGATGACCCCACTCGCCAGGTTGGGGTAGATTAGCAGGATCTTGTCTCACATTTGCAGGATCTAGTCTGTGGCCTCCGGTTACCTTGTCACACTGGGCACTGGTGGATGAACCCAGAGATTCCTGCTGCTGCCCTTAGCTCTGCTGTCCACCCTGCTCTTCCCAGAACCACCTGGCTGGAGCCACAGGGGCCCATCTGCAAGCCTAGCCCTCACCAGCAGGTAGAGTCTGGGGTTCGTTCACCTTAACTGCTATCAGGTCAAGCACCTGCTCGCCCCCATACCTCCTGACGACTGACTGTCCACGTGACCGGTTTCCAGCAGTGGCCTCACTCTTGTCAGCCTCCTCAACGATGACAGTCATGATGGCCAGTGTTCCCACAGTGGGGCCCGGTATAGGGCATATAGAGGGACCGTGATTGTGTCAGACTCTAAGAAAGGGACTGATAAGAGTGAGGCTAGTGGGAGGCCCCCTCTCCTGGGGAGCACAGGAAAGTAAGGCCAAGAAAACAGAAGCCCAGGCTTACTCTACCCTCTGAACTGCTGCATACTGCAACACTTAAATGCTTCCCCAGCCTAACTGCACACGGAGCCCCGCTCACATGTCACCGCCTGCCACCCCCCAGGGGCTGTCCAACCCCCCACGTTCATACAAAGTCTAGCTTTGTGCTGTAGGACTCTACCATAGCTAACTGTTTGCATGAGAAGACGGAAACCAGCAGAGAGGAACATGGGCATTGGGATCAGAAAGGATTCCGTATCCCTGTTCTGCCATTTAGTAACTATGACCCTAGGCAAGTAACAAGTTGCCCTAAACCTCTGCTTTCTTACCTTTAAGTGAGGCTTTAAAAAAAAAAAAAAAAAGGCACTGCCAGGATAATGCTATTTCATCAAACTTTCTCCTGGGTCACACAGAAAGACTACATTTACCTGCTTCCCTTGCAGTTGGGCTTGTGCCAGGCCGGACTCTTGAAAATATCCCACATAATCTTTGCACAAGCAAGAAATAAGTCTTTACTGTGTTAAGCCACTGAGTATTTGTCTCTCCAGCGGAGCACACAGCCTATCCTCACACAAATGGTAAGTAGAACACTTAGGCTGGCTTGCCTCCCATGACAGCTCGGACCACTGCAGGGCAATGAGCTGTCAGTGGTGGGATTGAGGATTACTCGGGAGAAAGACTATCTGGACCTGGTGACAGGCTAGATGTAGGGCTAAGAGAATGGGAAGGCTTAAGCACTGCATGTGTGACAAGCTGCTGGAAGCGGGGAAGAGCTGTTTGCAGGGATGAGGGAAGACGGGGATGAGGTGTAGGGAAGGTCAGGGGTCCTATCTTAGACACTGCAAGACAGCCAAGTGAAAACACTGAAATTGGGATTAGGCATAGGAGTCTGGGAACAGTTTGGGCTAAGATTAAAAAAAAAACTGAAAGCTTATAGTTGGTATTGACAGATATGGAAATAAAGACCCCAAACCAAAGCCTAAGGAACCAGCTATTCAGAGATCTGCAAAGAGGGTAATTACTAGTTCTCTCCCCCACTGATCCTTTAAGGGAAGAACAGGAACCCTTACTTCAGGTGCTGCACCAACTTTTTTGATAGTGATATTCGAATTCTGTAATTAAGAATTACCTCGGACTGCAAGGATTCAGCCCAAACTGTTAACCCATAAAGACTGTAGCTGTTTTTCCAGGAAATGCCAGAGTATGGTTTTGCCATCCTAGTTCCTACACCATGACTGTAATTAACTATTTGCTGACAGTTTCCAAATGAGCCTCATCCTTAGGCCTGCTCAAAGAGCAAGATGCAGAGAATGATGTTACAAGACATTTGTTTCTCTTTTATTTATAGCAAGGGGGGGGGATAAAATTACTTAATGATTTTCTTCCTTGTTGGTAAGATCAGTTTGTTTTGCTAGCTGTTAGCTTGTAAAAATGTACTTTGTGTAAGAATACACTTGTATAGATCACTTTCTTTCCGGTCCAATGAAGTCAGCATTCACTGAACACCTACTTTAGGCCAGGGACTGGCTAAGTGGCAAGGGGGAAGGAATGGCATGACTGGCCCTGCTTCCCCAGGAGGAGAATGTCCTCAAACCCAGTTTCCCTGGCTCAGTGCAGTGCAGTATAGCCGAATTCTGACCTCTTATGTTTAGACGTCTTAAAGATAACGGCTCTCAATTCTTTTTTAGTAGCCATGGTGTTCAGAGACTGGGAAACAGCACACTAAAACAGCGGTGCCATTTGCTGGGTGTGTGACCGGGGACAGATCTGTCCTCACTGGGCCTCAGAAGCTCCCTCACCTGTACAGCTGGATGGCACACTCACCAAGTAGTTACTGTGAGATCTTTTTTTTTTTTTCTTTTAGTTACTGTGAGATCTGAATAAAATGCATATGCAGAAATGTCTTTAAAGAATTGTAGAACAAAAGGGGATGTGTCTAGTACCTGTTTTCCACCCTTAAACACCAAGCAGAGGGCAGCCCCGGTGGCACAGCGGTTTAGTGCCGCCTGCAGCCTGGGGTGTGATCCTGGAGACCCAGGATCGAGTCCCGAATCGGGCTTCCTGCCTGGGGCCTGCTTCTCCCTCTGCCTGTGTCTCTGCTTCTCTCTCACTCTCTCTGAATGAATGAATAAATAAATCTTTAAAAAAAAAAAAAAAACACCAAGCAGAAATGCTTCTCAGATACTCAACACGGACAGCCAGATCCCCAGTGGACGTTCTATTCAGAACGTACCTGAGCTAGACCTCCAGCATGTATCAGTGTTATGTCAGGCATCCAGGAGCAGCCAGGAACCACTAAGCCATAAAGCGCGATCACAAAGTAAGGGACAGAATAGAACAGATATGCCAGCATCTGTATTAACAGAGAAATAACCTTGTCAGCAACTTAACAGTTAACTTGGCCTGATGAAAAGCACAAAAGATTAACAATTTTATCTTGGAGAACACTAATTCCTATTTCCTACATGGGCCTACATGTTCCCATTCTTAAAGAGTGAAAATTAACTTTGGAAAAACCATAGGCGGGCAGCCCCAGTGGCCCAGTGGTGTAGCGCCGCCTTCAGCCCGGGGTGTAATCCTGGAGACCCAGGATCAAGTCCCACGTCAGGCTCCCTGCATGGAGCCTGCTTCTCCCTCTGCCTGTGTCTCTGCCTCTGTGTGTGTGTGTGTGTGTGTGTGTGTGTGTCTGTCTGTCTGTCATGAATAAATAAAACAAAAAAAAATGAATTTTAAACATCTTTTTTTTAAAAAGGAAAACCATAGGCTTCATAACTACTTGACCTGGATTTTAGGATAAGCAGCAGGATCCTTTAGGTAGGGCTCCTGAAATTGTGTATAAAATCGGCAGAGCTCAGCTGGGCAATCCAAAGCAATCTGAGAACAAAAAACGAATTCATTATAAAGTTACAATCACATCTTATTCTCAGTGTTTACTGATAAGGCTAACTGTTCCAGGCTCAGCCACAAGCTGTTTTGCTATTTAACAAAAACTGTGTACTGTAGAAGAGGAAGAAAAGAAATATTCTACGGATCTGCTCAAAGGAGATGAAGAATAGTGGAGTAGGAAAGAACTAATGCTGTATTCTTGGGTATCTCTTAAGCCTCTAGGTTTCAACCAGCTGAAGCACAGCTCCCACTAGATTACCAGTTTGACTTTTCCTGGGAACAACTAGCCAGCTATTCCCTGCAGAAAGAAAAGGACATTCTTACACCAAATTCATCCTACTATGCTTTGCAGAATTTAAGAAACAGCCACCTCCTCTCTCCAGTGCCTTACAGAGTACATGGCCTTTGGGGGCAGTGAAGGTTGATCTGAAAGCAGGGTCCTCCTGTGTGAAGCCAATCCTGTGTCCACTTTAAAAGGGAGCACAGCAGACTCTTCGCCACAGAAGAAACACAGTATCTTTGTATCTTTGGCACATAACCAGGTCCCCTCTGAGTCACATCTCTCATGCATCACTTCTCATGTCCCTGGCCATAAATGTCCCTTCTAGATAACATCTATGAACACAGGCCAGTGGCAGAGTTGGTAAAAGTGGACCCAAACTGAAAAGCCCACCAAGCATGCAAATACCCACATGCACACCTTTTTCTCATGCACAGAGGAATGGATATGGCTGTGCAAGAATACAGCTGGGGCCCATTTTCATTGCTACTATTATTGTTTTCGCTTTGAAAATTAGAGCAAACTAACCAAAGAACAGTTTTAAGGATGCCTGACCAGCTCAGTAGAGTGTGTGACTGTTGATCTCAGGGTCATGAGTTCAAGCCCTATGTTGGGGATGGAGATTACTTAAGGAAAAAAAAAAAGTTTTACTGCTCTGTGGTCTGAACAAAGCCTACAGCTCTTTCTCCTTTACATCCCTTCCCTTTGCCATTCCTCCCACTAGCTAGCTCAACTCAGCTGTTGTGCAATGCCAGCAAGCTTAGAACAGTAATTGTCACTAAAGCTGAATATAATTACCCATATGATTCTAGCTGCCCAAATTTGTTTCTGGGCATTGCAAAGAATGATCTATCAATGAAAATAGTAACACCATGTATTGAACACTTACCACATATAAGGCCCTCCATAAGTGTTTGATGTTTATTCTCTTATTTCATCTTCAAACCAGTACCAAAAGATACGTACTGTTGTTTTATAGAAGAAACTGAGGTCAAAGAGGTTATATCATTTTTCCAAGGCTACACAGCTGGTAAATAGCCAGGATCCTAACTCCTTACTCTGGCCCCATCTTCAACCCCACCTCCCTACTCCTGAGAACACAACACACGCTCTGTGCCACAGTGGTCTTGGAGTCTTCTGTTACCACCCTTCCCAAAGACATTTACATTTAAGTCAGAAACATCAAAGAAACCAAAAGAATGAGACTCTACCAGCTAATTTTTCAGGCACCCTAAAATCAGGGAATGAGGAGACTTCTGGGTGGGCTTAATCCAAAGACCTGAAGGAGGGGGCATGCAGCAGCCCAGCTGGGCCGACCCCATGAGAGGGAAGCTGGGGATTGAGCCAGCAGGCAAGAGAGCCACAGCCAGCAGGGCCAGCTCTCCAGGCTCCAGTAGGAGGAATGTTTTGTTAGGGCATTAGGAAGTCTGATTCAATACATACTTTTTTTTTTTTTTTATGTTACTTTGATCTGTTGTGCTTACCAAGCCTCTAAACAGACAAAATCCAGTTGCCAGGAGGAGACACACGACCAACATTAAATCAAATGGTCTTCTCAGCAGGTCCTTTGCTTGGACTTCTTGAACAACCTAAAACAGAGTTTGTAACCAATGAGCAGGTCCCAAAGTGCCAAAGAAGTCTCTGAGATCTACTGACGCATAAGTGCTATGGTGCTGGATGGCAAGAGAATTCTGCAGATGGGTGATTCACGTCATAAACCGCCAGCCACCTAACAGAGATCATGTCCCTCCTCACCTCCACTTCCAGTTTGCTCATCTGAGAAATGAGATTGGGCCAGGTCATCTTAAAGGGCCCTTCGAGCTCTGAGTCTTTTTTTTTTTTTTTTTTAAAGTAAGGTAAACCATTAACCCAACACTATTAGGAGTCTCTACAATTTTCAAGAGAGAGATCTATATCTATATATAATTTATATTTACTTTTTACAAAATTATGACTTTATATATAACCAATTTTGTATTCATTCTTTTGACACTCAACATCTACCTATATTATAAGTACTCTCCCACATTATTAAAAGCTCTTCTAAAATGTAATGTCATGTGGAAGCACCATATTTCAGCCGTTCTCTCATTGTTGGACATTTAGGCATTTGCACTGTTAATGTGATGATGAGCAATTCTATACATAAATATTTGATACCATCTCTCTGATGATCTGAGAACAGGGGCTTAGACGTGGAATTACTAGGTTAAGGGATTAAATTTGTTAAGGTTGATAACACTGCCAGACTGCAGAGTGAGTCTGAATTTATGTTCCCTACAGCACTGTATGACAATGTCCATTTCTCCCTGGCCATCACTGTGTTTTAACATTTAAAAAATGATAAACAGTTTTATGTGTCTTGCAGCATGAACGCTTGACATACTGACAAAGAGAGTGTAAAAGCATTGGAGCCCAAGGCGATGGTTACTGCTTGCTTCTTTTGAACAACCACCTCATTCCTCAAAAGGATGTAAGGGAGTACTGGCTGTCATTCTGCCAACCTGACTTTACACATCAGGTGTCTAACTCTACAAATGAAGTGTTTGTAAATTACCACGTATTTTAATGAACTCTACTGTAAATCTTATAGTAAAAATGAATAATCATGTTCTGATAATCTCTAGTAATTCAAATTTTCATATATCACTTTGCTGAAAGGATCTTGCTTAAGGATCTAATATCTATAAAAGGAAGAGAAACTTAGATGTTACTAGCTTAGAAATGAAGACCTTAACAGAGTACCTGCCCAGCCAGCATTGCTTCACCTCGACCACCTCTGCTGTGAATGGAAGGGAGGTGTCTCAGATGTCCTTGTGCCTGGATCTCTTGGTAAATTACACCCTGAGGCTGTTGTGTGTTGCCTCAAACAGCAGTATGTCTCCAGCCTCCCCTTGGGGCAGTAAATGCACTGGTACCTCTGAATGAGATGTCCAGATGCTCAAAACGCCAGGCTGTTAACAGCCCCAGACAAACCATACACTCCACCCACTAATGGAGCATCTGATGGGAACAGCCAGTGTGAAGTTCCAGAAAGCACAGCCAGGCCGATGGAAGCAGACATACTCAGCCAGAAACAGACCATCTCTGCCACTGTAAGTGAGGCATGACCAGTGCACAGAATCAGCACGGTCATATGGGCTGCCCCAAGTGCTCCAGGACACAGAGGCATGGTCCCATTCAGTAGCCAGCAAATATGAGTGAGCCCTGTGAGTTTGGCAACAGGTTACAATTAACATAATAAAATCACCTTTGAGGGATAATTATAATTTTCTGATGGCTGATTATAGATTCTGAAACCAGCCCAGACAGGAAGACAAGTATATGGTATGCTTAAGAAAAAAGCAGGGCAAATACGAGTTCCATACTTCCCTATTTAAAAGAAAGAGAGAGAGAAAGTCAAAAGTTTGCCAAAAAGCATATCAAAACACCAGTAACATTTAGGACACCAACCTCAAGTCATTTAACATTGTGCTGTAGACCAGACAATATTCTTCACGAGGCCAAATAAAATAAGACAATTTCAAAGTACAAGGTGCTTATGACCAGGCATGTCCTAGCTACTATATGTCTAGAATATATTTAACATAAAACCCTGATTTTTTGCATGCATAAATAATAACCTCTTTTACATTAGCTTTCGAGAGTCTTAATTCTCATATACATTTATCGAATGTGTCAAGAGTTACATATGATACAAAAAGTTGTAAGAAATATTTGCACACTGCATGTAGCCACAAATACTTCCTCTAGATCCTAAATGTCAGGAATCACTGGTTTTAGATTGTCTAATTGTTCAGTGTACACTTCTGAGAGTTGCTCAAAAGCATTTCTTAAGTGGTGAGATGACAGAGGGGAAAAGGAAGAATTCTGCATAACAGCTTCTTGGGAAGCTTGGAATAACAACCAAGATAACTTCTCTATTTACAAGTGCTCCCCCATTGTTTCAGAAGAGGAAAGTGAATTTTTTAAGATAAGGTTTCTTACCCACAACGTTTCCTGGCACAAAAACAACAATGCTCATAATAATAGATCCAACCCAGTAGAGGCCAATGGTTCTATAACTTTCCCTGCAACGAAAAAAAAAAAAATCTTGGCTTGGTGCACTTATCCTCAATACTATTAGCAAAAGATGATCTAATTAGTGTTATCCTAACTAGTAAAGTATATGAATCGAAACTTACTGAATCGATAGTAATAAATCAACCCTAAGGAGCCCTAGTGCTCAAATTTCATTTCCATCTGTGATCTACTACAGAGCCCTCTTTGTGTCCTTCCAAATAGGAATTAATGCTTGCTGCCCTGATCATCTGTTAAACTACGGCAAGGTCAGTCACATTCAAAGGAGTCCCGCATTTCACTGGGTCACATGAAATTCATGGCAGAAAAGGAAAGAGAAGTTTCAAAAAAGAAAGGAAGTTGGACCCGTATTTTAAAGCACTGTAAGTATGAGTAACAGGATGTTAAATGGACTTTCCCTGGTGTCAGGATCATGGCCAGAGCCCTAAAGATGGAGATCCTGAGACCTTTCCCGTATTCTAAAGGAGCTGCTAGACACAGACCCCTAATCTTAATAGGCTGTGTTGACAAAAAGCTCTTTCAGCCAATAACCCTGATAACCCACGTCTGTAAGGGGCAGTGAGAGAGCAAAAAGAGATTATCTCTGTCCAGAGGTGGACAATACTGCTTCTGCCCTGCCCCACCGCCCCAAGCCAAGTGCAGCTGATTCCCATGAGGCCAATTCATAAAGACTGGAATTGTGAGCAAGACAAAACAAGAATCTTCTCCCCAGCAGGATGCTAACTGAGCCAAAGAAACTACAGCCCACTCCTGGCAGCCTGCAAGCAGAGCCCAGGCATTCTCAGAAACACTTGATGTGTTCCCTGGAAGCTTAGGAACATTCACGAAGAGATAGGCTAGTACCTGGAAGAGTCTAAAACTCAGCTGGAGCTGTCCCTAAGCTCAAGATCGAGGTCAAGCTGAATTTCAAACTCTTATGGTGCAAAAATGCATCATTTTCTCTAACCTGGAGCCACGGGGAGGCCTGGGAAGCTGGCTGGGCTTGAAAGGACCCTGCCCCAAAAGGTTCACGTTCTGGGTTTACAGGGACACCAGCAGGGAGCAGCTGTGGGTATAACCACCATGGACAGGGAGGTCCCATAAATTCAGCCAAAGAGAGCACTGCTCACTTCGGGGGTCTATCCAACACAGTCTCCCATGGCAGGGGTCTCCAAGGAGCCTACAGCGGTGCTCCACATGGCAGACCTAGGGCACCAATCCCCAGAAACAGAAATGGTCATGTAAGACTCTGCTCCTCTATCTTTATCCCTGTGTGCATACATGCACACTCCCTGAGAAGCCAGCTGCAAATAAGACTTCCTAGAGAACAGTCAGAAGCTGAAGGGGCTGCCCAAGCTGTCACCACGGTGTGGGATCATCCAAAGGGACATGTCCAAAAGGCAGCTGTGCCAGCAAGAGAACCTGTGTTAACTATGTCTCACGTGTGTCCACAGAGCATGTGTTCACGTGCGTGTCCCGTTTGTGTCTCTCCCTCTACACGTGTGGCTTCCTCACATACCCACGTATGGGCTGCCAAGGTGGCAAAGGCACACACACCCAGCAGACTGACTCACTTACTCCCAGGCTATGGCTGCCACCATCACCAGATACATCAGATAATGAGCAGAGCCATCCCAGTAGCAGATCATGTGCCCGTACGCAGTGTTCAAATACGGCTCACCCTGGGGAAAGATAAAAAGAGGAATCTGCTGTCAGTAGACCTCCACACAAAGCAGCAGACCTGGACTTCAAGGCACGTAAAACAGCAGAGCTGGCTGGAGTCAGCATGCCCAGACGTAGCTATGCGGAATCCCAGTGGTGAGCTGGAGCTGCTGCAACTAGTCCGCAGTGCAGGGCCCTGCAGAACACCTGGTTGTGAGCTGACCCGCTGGATCAAGCACCTAGACCCGCTGGGTCAGACAAGGCAGGTGGCATTATGGGCAGCCCTGGTTGCTCGGCTAACTCACCAAGGCTGAGTCAAATCTGTGACTGAGGCCCTTGGCTCTGGCCAAAGGGGTGGCCAGGGAAGACCCTGCTTCCCACAGCCAGCAGCTGACCATCATTCACCTTTGTATGGACCCCCAGGAAGGCACATCTTTCCCACACCCAATGACAGACAGATGGGCACCCCAACTCCCTTATGGGACGCACACAACTGACTCGGCTCTACCAAAGAGGCAACAGAGCTCTGTTGTCTGTCCCCATGATCCAAGGGCATGAAGAGGGGGGTGGGGTGTAGAAATAACACGGCATCTGGACTTATGTGCCCATGCCTGGACCAAGTCGTTTCTCTCTAACACGCTCTGACTCAACAGTACAATCCAATGTTATGACTTGGTCGTTCATGTACACACCTGGCCCCCGGAGCCAGGCGAGCCACTCCTGCTGGCTTGATGGGCATCTTTAACTGGACAGCCCATGGGCCTTTCAAACTCTCCTGGACTCCCTTCACCCCTCAGCTTCTGCCCCCACTCGAGCCCTGCCCAGCCCTCTGGATGAACAGGACAGCAGTCAGCCTACCCGGCTCAACACCCCAGGATCATTTTGTCATCCCTCTCTCCTATGCAGTCTGCGGGCCAGTCCTGCCAATTCTCTCTTTCTGAGGTCACCCAGGCCACCCTCCCTTTCCACCCAGCCTGGTTCAAGCCCACAGTGCCCCTCACCGAGCCAGTCCCAAACAGTCTGTCTCCCTCCTCTTTCCAATCCACCTGCCAAATGAAGACTCATGAGGCCTAGCTCTTAACATATCGCTCTTCTGCTCAAAATGCTCCCAAAGCTGCTTGCCAACTGCAGGCCCAGGCCCCGCCTCCTCCATCTGACAGTTGGGCACCCAGAACCTGGCCCTGCAGACTTTTTCACACGACACCCCATCCTACCTTCTCAGCCCCTGTGTGCCTCACCGGTTGCCACCCTCACCAGCTCAACCACAGGCCTCCCAGCAGCTGAAAGCTCCTCGAAACCTCCCCACTCTGGACACAAGGGTCCCAGACTCTCCAGGTTTCCTCCTGTTTCTTGGCCTATCCCCTCACAGTGCACGGCAAGGGCTCTTCTTCTAGCCACGGCCTCCAAAGTTCCACTCACTCCACCCTCAGCCATCTTCTCTCCTCCTTCTCCCAAGCAAGCTCTCTTTCCAGACTTCAGGTACTATCTACACTGAGATGGCTCCCAATCTCCCTATCAGGAACGTTCCTCAGAGCAGACCTGCGAAGCCCTGCCAGCTGGAACATCTGCCAATATGTCCCTCAACCACCCACAACTCCACGTGTCCCCAGATGAACTTGGCATCATCCCTGCACACCTCCACCCCAGGCTGACCGTGAGGAGACACAGCTGTCCCTTCTTGGAATGCCCTCCACGGCCCTTGTCTATCTGGAAAATGTTTATCATCCCATGTCATTGCCATTTTAAAAAATGCTAGAGCAGTGTCACTAATGCAATGAGGACTCCTCTGACTGCTTCCAGACTCAATTCTTCCCCTGCACAAGGGCAGATCTTGTTTTATTGCCCTTCACTTTATTGTGTGTTGCAGACATTGTTTTGTTTTGTTTTTTTTTTTTTTTTTTTACAAGTTGAAGGTTTGTGGCAGCCCTGTGTCAAGCAAGTCTGACAGGGCCATTTTTCCAACAGCATTTGCTCACTTTGTGTCTCTGTGTCACATCTGGGTAATTCTGGCAATATTTCAATCTGTGATCTGTGTTTTGGTTGATCTGTGACCCATGATCTCTGATGGACTACTGTGACTGTCTGGAGGCCCTATGAGCTGCACTCATATAAGATAGTGACTGTTGGGTGCGGTCTGACTGCCTCACCTGCCTATGTCTCACCATCACTCTCCTCGTCCTTGGCAAACTGCATTGTTGTCTTATTTTAAAAAGTTGTCACAGCCTGGGTGCCTGGGTGGCTCAATCAATTAAGCATCTGCCTTTGCTCAGGTCATGATCCTGGGGTTCTGGGATTGAGACCCATGTCAGGCTCCCTGTTCAGTGGAGAGTCTGCTTCTCACTCTGCCCTTTACCATTCCCTCCTGTTCATGCTCTCTATCTCAGATGAATGTTAAATATTTCCAAAAAAAATACAAAGAAACTGTCACAGCCATCCCAAACTTCAGCAGTCACTGTCCTGATCAGTCAGCAGCCATCGACCTCATGGCAAAGACCCTCCACCAGCAAAAAGATGATGACTTGCTGAGAGCTCAGATAATGGTTAGCAAGTTTTGAGCAATAAACTGTTTTAATATTAAGGTATGTATGGTTTTTAGACATAATGCTATGCACACGTCATACACTATAGTATAAATAATGCATTGGGAAGCTAAAAAATTCATGTGGCTCACTTTATTGTGATTGTTGCTTTATTGCAATGGATGGTCTGGGACGCAACCCACAGTATCTCCAAGGAGTGCCCATACTCTGTGCCTTGTGTGTGTCTCCATCACTGCTCCTAGGACTGTGCCATCTCCCTGCCAGGTCAGAGAGCTCCTGGGCCCTAGAGTCTACTCCAGCTACTGTCTACAGGACTGAATTCTTCTGCTTTAATAACACCAGCATTTTTCCAAAAGCAGGAAGCAGGATGTCTTCTTGGATCTTACCCTCCCCATCACCCCCAACCCATCCCTGAGTCCTACTTACTCCAACCACTCAAAGTCTCCAAAGTTCCTCCCTCCCCATTACCTCCCATGCTTGGCTCTGCCAAGGCCATCCTCATGTGCTTGCTGGTCCTGCAAAAGCCTCCTGACTTGTGTCCCAGTTCACAGCACTGACACCCTGCTCTAAGCTCATCCTTCCTAGAGCTGACTGCATCATTCCCTGACTTAAAATCTTCCCTCAAAGGTGAGATAAAGTCCAAACTTCCTTTGCTTACATATGAAGTTCTCCATTATTTAAAGCACAGATTAAGACTGTGCTTTCCTGTGAGATCTTGAGCGAGTTACTTAACCTCTCTGGGGCTGGATTCATCACACAAAAAGATAGGGAAAGAGGACTAGCTCTCTCAAGAGCAAGTAGCACTATAATATGATGACAGTGAGGGAAGGTTCATCACAATCAAATGGCTTCATTTAACGCCTCAGTGTTCTCTAGTTTATACACATAAGACTGACTTGGGCTTTCGGATATAGTAATGTTCTAATAATAAGACACCAAGTACTAAATTCACTTAGAACACTTCACGTATGTTAAATACAAGCAAAGGAGGAAGGTAGTGGACCAGGTGTGAGGGAGGAGATATAAAACCGAATGCTGGAAAAAGTGCCTCCCATGATCTAATCCTAACTTTTTACTTCACTTTCCACATGAATCAACCACCTACGTATGCAGCAGTAAAAGAAATACCATGGATCTCATCCCCTTATACTACATAAAGTGATTTCATCTGTGAGCAATGTGACTTGGGTGGCTGATCCTTTGGCGTAAGGCTCACATTCGCTAAATCATCCCATACCTCTCTCAAGTAGTGCGTCATGAACCCGTCAATGATTCCATCCTGTTCCAGTCCTATGATGAGGTTCACCACGCTGGTGAATCCGAAAACTGCATACACTAGAGCAAAGAAAGAAGTAGTTACTTATTTACTTATTTTTATTTATTGGAAGTAATCTCTACACCCAACGTGGGGCTTGAACTCACAAATCCCAGGATCAAGACCCCCACGCTCCACCGGCACTCAGCCAGGCACCCCAATAAAGCAGTAGTTTAAAAAGGAGCAGCTCAGGAGGCAATGACTAAGACCTTGGCATTTACCAAAAACAATGACTTGTTTTTAATCTTTTCCAGAAGACACCGTGGGCCTTGTCAAGATGGAGTAACAGAAGGTCCCTCCTGCACAAAAGGACCTTCGTCTGTGTTATGGATCTCAGCAGCACTGCCCAAGTGCTCTCTCCAAGAGGACACCTGCCACGGGGACAGAATGACACACTTACCCAAAGGATCCCACCAGGCCACCCTATCCATCCTCCACAACCTATAAGCGGCCACCCCGGACCCCACCTGTGTCCCACCTGCACCTGCAGCCAGCTCACAGCATATCTGCTGTTTGCTCTATTCCACACTGCAGATCCTACAGATGGACAATAGTGGGTGTGCAAGTTTTTTGGTTTTTTTTTTAAGATTTTATTTATTTATTTATTCATGAGAGACACAGAGAGAGAGAGAGAGGCAGAGACACAGGCAGAGGAAGAAGCAGGCTCCATGCAGGGAGCCTGACACGGGACTCGATCCCAGGACTCCAGGATCACACCCTGGGTCAAAGGCAAGCACTTAACCTCTGACCCACCCAGGCATCCCAGGTGTGCAAGTTTTATTTATTTATTTGTTTATTTATTTTTTGGTGTGCAAGTTTTTTTTTAATTTTTATTTATTTATGATAGTCACAGAGAGAGAGAGAGAGAGAGAGAGAGAGAGGCAGAGACATAGGCAGAGGGAGAAGCAGGCTCCATGCACCGGAAGCCCGATGTGGGATTCGATCCCGGGTCTCCAGGATCGCGCCCTGGGCCAAAGGCAGGCACCAAACCGCTGCACCACCCAGGGATCCCCTTGGTGTGCAAGTTTTAAAAAGAAAGGCCAGTGGTGTTTAAAATGGGTAGAGATGGCATAGTTGAGTATGAAAGAAGCAAAGCCACCTTGTCTCTAAGAATCTCTCAGGTGGTGAGAATCTCCTAAACAGGCTTAAAACCACCAGCAACAAACAGCTAAGGAATTAGACTTTTTATAAGGCAAGGGATCAAACTTGTGCCTGTCAGTTTATCAGGGAGGCTACCTTTTCAAACTGTAACAAACCAGAAGCCATGTGGTGGGCACGGGGAGTACAAGAATTCAAAGGTGGACATACGAACAGCCACGATAAAATAAATGGAGAGGTGACGTCCCAGAGAAGGGAAGCCAACCCTTCCGAGTCTGCAGCCAGGGCCTCAGTGTTCACACCCTCCACAGGAGTGCAAGGCCCCCATGTGCCCTGCCCTGTAGGCCCTGCCTCCCTGCGCTTCCCAGGCCTGTGACCCAGATCTTGCAGTTGAGATCAGCCAGCAGGCAGTCAGCCACCATATGTCTCCAGGGAAAGAAAGCGTTCAGCATCTGATCACAGGCTGACGGGAGTGTCAGAGCTGGGTCAGAGGTGACAGGCCCTGGTTCTGAGGCCACAGTGTGCTCACGCTAGGGCACAGGACTAAGAGTGTTGGAGCAAAGGTGCCCAACCCTGGGGAGCTGGGAGAGACAGAAGGCAGCTAAGTGTAGACTCCATGGGGTGGAGTGGAAAGACAGTGGCAGGAGACCACCCTAGAAAGGTAGTCTAGGGTCAGACAAAGGCAGGTGGTGTGAGCCCGGAAGTCAGACAGGTCCAGCTCATCTACCCACTGGCTATCCAACCTTGGGCAAGTTACATCATTGACCTAAGGGCCAGGGTTTTTATACGCAAGTTGGGAAATTAGTTACTTAGAATTCTTCCCTCCCCATCTTTGCCAAGATCCACTGTGGGCAGAGAATATTCCCCATGGCACTGATGATGGACTCAGCCACATGACTTGATTTGGCCAATGGAATGGCCAACTCTAAGTCTCCTCTGCCATGAGAAGGGGACATCTTGGGGAGCTACTGGCCCAGGAACAAGGAGAAACATGGTACAGCTTTGAACATGCCCCAGAGCCCGAAGCACAGCAGTCTCAGCCAACCTGCAGACCCATGAGCAAAGAAAATAAATGTTTGTAGCCAAGACATGGAAACAGCCTAAGCATCCATGGATGGATGAATGGATAAGGAAGATATCCATAAACATAATGGAATATTACTCAGCCATAAAAAAAGAAGAAAATCCTGCCATCCATCACAACATAAATGGATCTCAAGGGCATTATCTTAAGTGAAATAAGACATTCAGAGAAAGACAGACTATATGATCTCACTTATCTGTGGAATCTAAACAAGTTGAGCTCAGAGACTGGAACAGTGGTTGCGAGGCTGGCAACTGGAGGAAATAGGGAGATGCTGGTCAAAGGTTACAAACTTCCAGTTCAAAGATGAGTAAGTCATAGGGATCTACTTTACAGTGTGGTGACTATGGTTAACGACACCTCATTGCATACTTACTCTTCTCATCACACACCAAAAAAAGGTCATTATGTGAGGCGAGGGACCCTATGGTGAACAACCTTGTTGTGGTCACCACCTCACAGTGTAGATGCCTATCACATCATCACAGTGTAGACCTCATGCCTGTACAGTGTGAGATGTCAATTACATCTCAGTAAAGCTGGCAGGGGGGCAGGGGGAGATAACAGAAAAAGTCTGTTTCTGCTCCAGGACACCACGATCTGGGGGCATCTGATATGCAGCATCCCTGAAGCAGAAACTGAAGGAGGAAATGCCAGGTCAAGTTTCTGGCAAGGGAAGCACTTGAAGACGGGGGCAGCTTAGCCTGAGGCAGTGTGGCCCAAAGCAGAGTGTGGGTTCTGGGTTCTGGGGTCAATGATGTTCTTAGTGAAAACCTTGACCACAATTCTCAGTGTCTCTGAGACAGCTTCTTCATCTGTAAGTGGAGGGTATTTGTTATGCCAACTGAATAAGCTGATATGGCTACAGTGCTCAGGGCCAGACCAGGTGCTTGGTTGGTGGAGTTTTTATTTATGCAATGCACATGTGTATTTTTCAGGCACTGTTGGGAGTATTTTATAAATATTATTGAATGTTTGTAGCAACCGTCCATGGCGAGCAATATTATTTTCCTCACTATACAAACGTGTAGACCAAGACACTGTGCAGCAAAGCTCCAGGCCAGGTGGAGGGGGCGGCAAGAAGCAAAGCACAGGCAGGAAGCACAGTAAGATGTTGCAAGAGTGGAGGTCAGAGGTCAGAGCACGGCTGGGGAGTAGGGGGTGGGGGGAGGCATGGAGGGGCATCCTGCCTAGCCCTGCCAAAGACTTTCCTCCATGATCCCCACTGGGAAGGGGCGGGGTCTGTGGCCTGGAGGCCCTGTTGGTCTGGAGCTGAGGACTGTGTTGTCCTGAATTACTCCTCCACTTCCTGCCACTTCACCAGGGAGCTCAGGGAATTGGAGACCAACTTCATGGAGGCACAACCCAGTGAAGGCAAAGGCCCAAGAGCTGTGCCGTTTGATGGACACCAACAGTTCCCTTCCAAGGGAGACGTACCATAGAACAGGGGGTCCCGGGGTGGTTTTCTTTTGACGAGGACACGAGCCAGCAGGGCGACCAGGAGCAAGATGAGGGCAGCAACCCCTACAATCGTCCAGGAACTGCAACGACCAGAACAGGGAGGTGGTCACTTATCGAAATAAACATGTTGGTGCGTGGAATTTCCTGGCTATTGAATGCATTCGCTCCCACCTCTGCCTCTGCCCACAGTTCAAGAGCTGTGGGGTTAGTGAGGTTTGGCTTTGCTGCAGCACTTTGCCCCTGCCCCCCCAGGCCACCCATGTGACTTTCAGAAACTGGAACCACCAGGTCCTCAATCTTCCCATCCTGTGCACCTGCACAGACCTGCATCCTCCACACCATCCCACCCCTGAAGATGGCCACTGCCCCCCTGCCTCTACCTACCTGCTCGTCCAAATCCTGTTCCCCAGTGGCTGATGGGCCTAACCACTGAATCTGCCCCCTCCCTCAGGGTTAGCCAGAAACCTTCAGACTGAGCTCCAGGAAATCCAGAGGAGTCCCGACTACACATATCTTCCAGGAGGACAAGGAGGGAGGGCCACAGGTCATGTGTATAATCAAAGGAGCCAAAGGATGAACAAGGAAAAGTTTGGGCCAGACCTGCAGCCACAATGAAGCCAGCTGCCCACACCCAGGGCCGGCAAGCCAGCATCTAACCCCTCACCCAGACAGTAAGGTGAGGCAAGGATGGGCATAGGGAAAAGACACCATACTGAGAAGACCGGGGGCCAGGGCCCCTCCCTAGTGGGGCAGCACTAGGGCATGAGGCTTGGTTGAGTTTGCAGTCAAGACACCTGGATTCAGCACCTACTATGCTACCGCCTAACTCTGCAACCTTAGTAAAGTCATGTCATTTCATCATCTGCTTATTAATTAATCTTAAAACATAGTAAGGGAAAAAAAACATAGTAAGGATAAAATTTATGATGCACTCCTATCTGCCAGGCACTGAGGATGAATGGAGGATGTCCCTGTCTATGTGGAGGGTCCTACTTCAATGGACTCTGAGCTCTCTCACCCAGGATGTCACCTCTGGTCCTACAGGGATACTCTCTTACAGCTCCATTACCAAACAGGGCTTTCAGTTCTAGACAAAGGATCCTGTGGCCCTCTCCAATGGCCTGCACACCACAGCCTCTTCAAAGCCCTTGAGGGCTGCCACAAGCACCACTCCTCAGCTGAAACCCCTGCACAGAACCACAGTTTGACAAGAGAACTTCTGGATAACCTTTGCCATATGCCCCTGGAACTTCTGAAAGTACCTTTCTCAGTCACGGGTTCTACAACCTAACAGTACCTACCAACAGCTGAGGGACACACTCATGCTAGATTTCACTCCACACCCCTGCAGCTGTAATGGGTGTTAAAAACCTGCCCTCAGCATAAGAGAGGTCAGTCAGGAGGTGGGAAGCGATCCATCCAACCTGCAGATAGATGGGCCCCCAGGAGACTGGTCACACGTACAGGAAAGCTGTATCCCTGGCCCCTGGCCCCAGGCCCCAAGAGTTGGGGGAAAAAAAGGCTTTGGACATCAGGAGCACCCAGATTTCCAAATGCCACCCTCCACCTACAAAATGCTTTGGAGTGGGGCATGGGAACATGCAACTTTTTTCAGGATACCTGGATGAGTATGACAAAGAAAGTCTGTCTGGGGACTTCTATGAGTGCATATAAGAATTGATGAATGCATGAGGGAGGGAAGGAGGGGGAAAAGAAGCCAGGAAGGAGAAATGGATGGATGGATGGATGGATGGATGGATGGTAGATAATGAATGAATGGACACTGGATAATGGATGGGGGATGGTGGATGATGGATGGATAGATGGACAGATGGATGACAGATGGTGGATGGTGGATGAATGGATAGATAAATGGATGGTGCATGGAAGAATGATGCATGGTGGATGGGTGGATGAATTGATAGATGATGGATGTTGGATGAATGGACGGATGATGGGTGGATGATTGATGGTGGGAATGGGTGGTGGATGGCAAATGAATGGATGGTGGATGAATGAATGGATGGATGATGGAAAGATACATGAATAGATGACAAATGATGGATGGTGGATGGTGAATGAATGGGTGATGGATAGATGGATGGTGGATGGTGAATGAATGGATAATGGATGGATGGCGGAAGGAATGGATGACAGATGGTGGATGGATGACACACTTCTATGATAAGGATGAGAATGACTGTGTCAATGTCCAGGTAAGATGTTGAAATAGGAAATTTCTAGTGGTGCACATTAGTGCCTGCTCTAGGCTCCTCCAGTAGGGGAAAGCCAAAGGAGCAGAGGATGGAAAAGGAAGCTGATCGGGGTCAGGAACATGATACTGGACTGAAGCATTCCATGAAAAGGGAAGAGGTTAGGTGTGCTGTGTAAGCTGACAAGCATTTTAATCACAGCCCAAGGCAGGTGGTGGCCAGGGAATAACCCCATCCCTGCTCCTACTAAGGGCCTACACTTACACCAGCACCACCACGCAGCTAGCACTATTCTGAAGTATACAAGAGCAGTGTAAACTGTTTCACCTGTCCTCTCACATTCGCCACCTAGGGGAGGAGCACAGAATGAAGAGAAACTGGGGCAGCAGATCCTGTATGCATCCCAGTGACTACCAAGTACAGAACCTCCTAGAACAGGGAGAGATGGATCCAGCAGGGACTGGGGGGCGGGGGGAGCGAGGTGTGGGGAAGGGCTGAGACAAACCCAAGGGTGAAAAAGTTGCTAGTCTGGGAATGAGGGGGATTACTGACGTCCTTCCATGAGGGACACCCACTCAGAGGGGATATTTATGGGTGAGCATGAGTAGAGGGAGAGAAAGTGTGAGAGAGAGAGAGAAACAGAAACAGAGACAGAGATCCCAATCTTTTCTGACTCCTTACCCTGCCTTGCTTCTTGTTTTTTAGACTTTTGTAAAAGGTGTGGTGGGAAGAAAGCTTCGACTAATCCAACTAATACAGACCTAAGCGAATGCCCGGGGTGCACAAGGCCCTGAGCAGGGCCAAACGATACTAAGATGAGCTGTGGCCTGGGAAGGTACGTTCTGACCACAGGAAAGTAACTCCCGTGGGAAAAGTACAATCCAAGAGGGCTAGGTGGAGGGAGAGCACACACGTGCTTGGGGGGAGGGTCTGGAAAAGAAAGACATTGCATTTTACCCCAGGCCATGAAGTCCAGGAATGGCTTCAACCGTCAGGTCAGATCTCAGGTCAGGTCCTGAGGGAACAGCGTGAGCAAGGGCAAGGGGGCAGGAAGTTAAGAAGCATCCCAGGGCCAGGGCAAGGAAGCTCCTGGGGAGGCTGTGCCATGGCCCCGGGGCAGAGAGTGCCAGTGCCAGGGGGAACCGCAGGGAGGAAACATGCTAGTCCAGCCCTGGGGCCAATGTGTAAGGGGACTTGGGAGAGGGGAGTGGAGGAAGAAGACAGAGGAGCCAGAGCCACTGCGATTTTAACCTGCAAGGGGAGGAGAAGAATGACTGGAACCAATTATTCAAAACTCTGCAGGGTTAGCAATGTGCTCAATAATATACGGCAATACATAATTCAGTGTGTGCTCAGTAAATGCCATCACCATCCTGCCAGCGGCTGAGGCCAAAATCTCAGAGTCATCCTCAAACTGGCCCTGCTGCCCCTCCAAAATACCCCTTTGCCTAGCCACCATGCCCATCTCCTCTTACTGCTCCCCGTTCCCCTATCTAGAAGGTTCTGTCTCCACAACTTCCTGTGTGTCACCTCCTACACCTCAAGTCACCTCCTCCAAGAAGCCTCCCCTGACCACCATTCCCCTTCTCAGTCACTCATGTTGCCACATTTTAGTGATGTCTGTCTCAACACCTGCCTTCCCCCTTTCCTGGCTTGTCCATAGCTATATCCCCAACACTTGGAACAGTGTCAAGCACAGAATATGTATTCAATAAATATTTGCTGAGCTGCCTATAATGCCATTGTAGAAATGCAGGGCACTATATTCACAGCCATGTGACATCTGCTGCCCAGAGCTGTGTCTTCCAGGAGTTGCACCCCTAGACTGGGACAGACCAAGGGCAGTCACTGCCAGTTCCTTGGAGTGCTCACTATGGATGGGGCCCATCTGGATAAGGCTGTCCCCAAGTGGTGGTCCCCGCAGAGAGAGGGAAGGGGAGAAAGAAGTCCCTGCCCTATAGGCAGACACTTATCTGCAGCCTGAAGGTCTGGAGAGGGTTTGCTGCATGCAGACTGATGCAATTTCCTTAGCACCAACTGCTGTGGGAAACATAACAGGTTAACTTCCTCGTCCCCACAGACAACAAGGAGCACCAGCAGGCACGGAGGCCTGGCACCTTTCCCGCTGCCTGGGCAGGCCTGCAGCTGCCTGGTGCAGGGTGGCTTAGCCAGGGATCCCTCACACAAGACTGAGGCACTGCTTTGAACTAAACCCAAAAGCCAGCCCCACCCATTTCCTTGGCTTTGAACCGCTCTGCCTCACTTCCCTGCGCTGTCCTACACTCCCCCCTCCCCCCGCCCCCGCCCCACCTCCGCTCCTCCACAAACAGGTCTCTTTGGATCCGGACAACACAATACAAATACGGGCCATTTGACAGACCAGAAAACTGAGGCCAGGCCACCCGGGTAGTGCCAAAGCCACACCCCGAACCCAGGTCTCTGCCTGCTGGTCCACGGCTATTTCTGCTAGTCATTCACAACAGTTTCTAAAATTAATAAGAAATGAGAAGTATGTGTGTGTCCATACATGGAAAGGTCCCTGGGAAATGGCAAAGGCGCACGGCATGACCCGAGAGAACCTGGCCACACTGGTCGCTGATGGGGTCTGCACCCCCACAGCCCTGCCCCAGAGCTGCTCAAGGGCAGGGGCATGGCCTCGTTGACCTCCGTCACACGGACCCCCAGCACCGCGCGGGCAGGGTCGCGCCCCAGCCTTGGCTCCTGCACCGTTGCCGCAGGTCCAGGACGCCGCCCGGGCCAGGCCCCCCGCCCCGACCCCTGCCCCCGGCCCCGGCCCCGCGCCCCCCGCGCCCCTCCCCTCCCCTCCCCTCTCCTCCCCTCGCCTGCCCCTGCCCCTGCCCCTGCCCCAGCGGAAAAGTTGCTGGGGCGCGCGCGGCGCGGAGGCCACTTGGCCGCCACCCCCCGCCCCGGCGCGACCCCCGCCGCGCGCGCCCCACTCACTCGCGCTGGGCCGCCAGGTGGTTGAAGACGTAGGTGACCGGGATGGCCGAGAGGGACAGCACGAAGACCCCGGTGGCCGCAGACGCACTCATCGCCGCCGCCGCGCCGCTCGCCCTTCAGCGCATCCCGCGCGGCGCCCCGCCCCAGCTTCCGGCAGCGCCCGCGCCCCTCGGCCGTGCCCTTCGGGGCGTCCCGCGCCGCGCCGCGCCCTCAGCAGCGCCCCCTCGACGCGCCGGCCCGCAGCCGCGCGGGAGCTCCGTGCAGCCGTGCGGGGCCGGGGCCGGGGGGAGGGGAAGACAGACCCTGCCGGGACAGGTGTCCCCCGAGGCGCGCGCCCTGGGGGGCGGGGAGCGCCCGGCCGGGAGCCGGTCGTGGACCAGCTGGGGGGCTCTGGGGCCGAGCCCCCCCGGGGTGTCCGAGCGGGAAGGGCCGCGGGATCGTCCGCGTGGGGAGCCCTAGGCCCAGGGACAGGAGGCACGGAGGATCCTGAAACCTTGGATCTTCTCTGAGAGCAGCCAACAGCGGGCAGCAGGCACAACTCGGTGCAGAGTCCGAATCCCCGGTTCAAACCCTGGTGCTCGCTCACTTGCTGTTGACCTTGGTCAAGTTACTTAACCCACGGCTCTTTTCCCTTCTGTGTCCAACGGGCGTGACCCAGGTCAGGGTAGGGTGGGATTAGCTGAGCTGGTAGGCACGAAGTGGTCACCCTGCGCTGCTCGGAACGCCGCTGTCTCCTGCAATTCCCACTTTTTGGACTGAAACTGACACTGGGAGAAATGCGGATTTAGTGAGACCAGAGCGTGGGGAATTCGTTTCTATTCCAGGCAGGGTTCCTGGAGGCCAGGTTGCCACAGGACAGGCTGCGGGAGATCCTACGCAGGGAACAGGACTGGAAGGCAAAGGCTCTGCCCTCAGACCACAGTCCCACAGAAGCCCCATGCTTGTAGAGAAGAAGGGTGCCAAGTATCGCCCTGGCTGCTTGACCATGTTGGTAACTAGGTCTCAGCAAGCCCCCTGGGACTGAGCCTGGATTGGTCTACTGTCCCCGAAAAGGAAGGACCGAGAGTTTTAGACAGAATGCAGCTCAAGCGACCCAGAGAGGTGACATGTACTTAGTGTGCTAAGCGTGCAGCTGCCAGGGAGCTGACGACATCATTCGGCTCATTTTAGAGATGAGGAAAATGAGCCACAAAGAGGCTGTGACCTACCTGCTCCTGGGCCACTCAACTTTTCCAAAGCCAGTTCTCCTAATCCCCTCTCCTGGTACTTCCGGGAGGCTTATGTCCAACTCTGAGGACATAATGATAAAATCTTGGCCCAGGGGCAGCCTAGGTGGCTCAGCCGTTTAGCACCGCCTTCAGCCCCAGGGTGTGACCCTAGAGACCCCGGATGGAGTCCCACATCCGGCTCCCTGCATGGAGCCTGCTTCTCCCTCTGCCTATGTCTGCCTCTCTGTCTCTCATGAATTTAAAAAAAAAAAAAAAAAAAAGCTTGGCCCAAATTGTGATACATCCAAGTTTTCTCGAGAGATGTCCTTACCTCTGACCTGGATATCACCCTCTTCCACAATTACTCCTTTGTCACTATCCTTAAACTCCCTCTTCCTCTAGACAACAAATACCTCCTCTGAGCCCCCTTGTCTCCTCCCAGCCAATCCCTGAGGCCAATGCAGCCCCTCCACCAACACCCAAACCTGGCTGTGTGAGTTTTACCTTCTCTCTCATATCTTGAACTCCCTGGCTGCCTTGTGACTTCCCCTCAATGTAGGCACATGCACAAACATGTTCACATGTGCTCCCTGGGCCAGAGGCTCCTCTCCATTTGCCACCTTTTCTCTCTGCTTTCTCATCCACACTTGGTTTTGGTGCCCATGCTTATGCTGAGAGATCCCAGATTAACGGTCCCTAGCACCAGCCTCCTCCCTCAGCCCTGCTACATGGGCATCCTACAGACACCTCACATTCAACATGGCCAAAATGGAGTTCCTCATCTGCCACAAGACCATGCCAGCTTTCTCGCATATTGTGGCACCACCACTCACTTGGCTGTCCTAGCCAGACACCTGGGAATCTACCTCAGTTCTGGCCAATCCCAAATTCCTCTGATTACAATAGTCCTATGAGTTTTCCTGTCCAAATACCTTTTAAATTTGCATCCAAACTGTCCATTCAGATTTGTACCATATCCCATGTCCTACACCCTCCCTTGTCTCTCTGGTTCTGATCCCACCAACTCAAGAAGACCTCACATGAACGCCCTCCTGAACCTCCCTCACTCTCTCCTTCAAGTTTTGCTTTCTTCATAGCATTTATACTATCCAAAATCATCTTGTTTACATGTCTGTTTCCTGTTCTGTGTGTGTCTCTCTCTCCATTATGATGTAAGCTCCTTGAGGTCAGGTACTGATCCATCTTTTTTTTTTCTAAGATTTTATTTATTTATTCATGAGACACACACACACACACAGAGGGGGGGGGCAGAGACACAGGCAGAGGGAGAAGCAGGGTCCATGCAGGGAGCCCGACGTGGGACTCGATCCTGGGTCTCCAGGATCAGGCCCTGGGCCAAAGGCAGCGCTAATCCGCTGAGCCACCTGGGCTGCCCTGGTCTATCTTTTTTATAGTTCCGTTCCTATCATTTAGATTAGCAGAGGAGGTGCAAAGGAGGTGCTCAAGAAATCTTCGTTCAATGAATGAATGCTCAGATCATCATTGTCCAATGGAAATATAATGTGAGCCACATGTGTAATCTTAATTTTTTTTTTAGGTAAACTCTATACTCAACATGGGGCCTGAACTTAAGACCCGAGATTAAGAGTCACACACTCTACCAACTGAGTAAGTCAGGTGCCCCTATACTCTTAAATTTTATAGCAGCCACATTAAAACATAAAAGAACACAGGTGAAATTAATTTTAATGATATATTCTATTTAAGCCAATATGTCCAAAAGATTATTGTTTTAACAAGCCATCAATATCAAAGATATTGAGATATTTTATTTCTTTTTCATACTAAGTCTTTGAAATGTTATGTCTTTTACACTCACAGTTATCCTGTTTCAGACTAGTCACATTTCAAGCACTCAACAGCCACACGTGGCAAGTGGCATCTGTACTGGACTCATGGTTCTAGACTTACTCCTCCTACCATACTGACTGACTCCAGCTGTGCTCTCTATTAGCTACTGTTAAGAATGGGTGCGATGTTAAATCACTAATAAGCTTATTCAAATATCCTTAGAGAGTCTACCATGTTTCTAGCATTGTTCTAAGAAGTGGTCACACAAAGATGAATTACAGACACATCTTGCCCAAGAAGACCACAATCCAGTGTGAGAAAGAGATATGTAAAATATTACTATAAAAAGTGTAAAAGATATATGTACAGATTGCTATAGGAACCACCAGTTCTGTCTGATGGAGTCAAGAAAAGCTTCAGAGAGGAAGTGAGGCTTAAGCCCAGACTTGAAGAGCAAGCAGAAGCTAGCTGAGTAGATGAGGAATAGGTGGGGCTTCCCAGGCAGTGGAGACAACACATGTTAAAGGCAGAAATGAGTGGGAGCATGACACTTGGTGAACTTCAAGTCATTTTCTCTGGTTGAAAATATTGGGATGCCATGCATGAAGGGGCTGGCAGGAAATGAAGATAGACAGGTGACCAGGGCCTTGACCTCAGAAGACCTGTGCAGGGAGCATTTAAGATTTATGAGTGGAAGAGAGTACCATCTTTAAAGCCCTGCCTGGCAGCTGGTGTGGACCACAGTTTAGAAAGAGGCAGGAAGGTCAATTAGGAAGCTATGACAATTGTCCAGCAAGAGATGATGAGAACCAGAATCAAAGCAATGTGAGGGAAGAAAAGGGGCAGAAAGTTCTAGATAGGGATTTTAAGGGGAGAAAGTCAGGAGGCAGGGACTGAGCACATGTTTGGGTTTGAACATGTTGGGTTGCCAGTGCCCATGGGGTTACTAAGCAATTAGGGGATACTAGCCCATAGCACCAAGAGAGGTACAAACTGTGGATACAGATTTGGGGAGCCATGAGCCTAGAGGTGTGTCTGAATATCAAGACAATGAATTCACTGTCCCCGAAAGAAGGCAGAGTCAAAGAGAATAGTAACAGCCACCACTAGAGAGGGGTTGGTGAGCACCGCTGCCAGCAGAGCAGCCCAAGGTCATCTGAATACAATGCCAGAAGCATCCAATATCTCAACCCCAAGAGCTGTTCCCTCAGAGTCTGAAAGAGACCCAAAGGCCACAGCAAAGCTTTGGATACTGTGATATACATATTGGAGATTATGATTTTCTTGATAACAATTTTTCTTACTGCTGAAAATATGAGTGGTCAGAATACTTGTGGTTGAGGACCCTGTATGATAGGAACCCTCCCCAGAAAACCTGTACAAACCTAGTGAATATAATCTCATTCTGCAATAGTAATATACTCTATAGACTCCAAAGTGCAGTTGACCCTTGAAAAATGTGTGGGGGGGGGGTTCTTAGAGGCACCCCACCCCATCCCGCATAGTCAAAATTTGCATATAACTTCTCACTCCCCAAAAACATAATACCAATAGCCTACTGTCGACTAGAAACCTTACCAATAACATAAACAGTTGACCAATGTATATTTTGTATGTTATATGTCTTATACACTGTTTTCTTACAATAAAGTAAGCTAGAGAAAAGAAAATGTTAAGAAAATCATAAGGAAGAGAAAATACATTTACAGGACTAGTCTGTATTTATCAAAAAAGAAATTCACATATAAGTGCATGCAATTCAAACCCATGTTGTTCAAGGGTCAAGTGTATTGCCATTAATATTACCTCTTCTAATCTTTACAGCACCTCTCTGAAGAATATAGAAAGCCCTTTATGGATGGACAAACTGAGGCTCAAAGAGGCTCAAGATGACTTGCACAAGCTCAAAAGGCTAAGAGAGGTGGTGAACCTGAATTCAATCACTATATCCATGAATATATACCCAGTAACTGAATCTAAGTCACTATCCCCACGATGCCATGGCTAACCAAGCACCACATTGGATGCCTTAAAAATAGCAGATGGACACACCACAGATTTAGCCAGTGGACTCGTTGCTCAGGAAGCTGAGGTCTGGAGTTCTACTCCATGCTGATTAGTAAGTATTAAATTCCCCTCTTGAAAAAGGGTTGGATATGACTTAAAAGGTATTC